CTGTCATCCCCCCATGTGAGTCCACCTCGACGCCTCCACCACCCCTGTACCGCCGTACCGCCGGGCATAGCGACCTGTTTCATCCATCCTCTACTCCGGGCTTTGATTGATGGGGCCGCGGCCCTCGCCTTTGTATCGCCTTTGTGAATTCGTCGTCCCAACGAGAGGCACGGGAAGAGGGGCAGGCGCTGCGGGGTTGAGTGGCGGTCCCGGCGGCCTGGAGGTGTTTGGCGGGGCACAGGATGCAGCAGTGCTTGCCTCTGCCGCAGCTGCCGCTCTGCCATCCACCTGCGGGTGTCACCCCCCAGCCTCCTCCCGCCAGCCAGGCCAGCAGCTTTACAAGCCTGGGATGCAGTGGATGAAATGGGGTGCAGGGGCATGCCTGCCCGGCAGGGGGCGGGGTGGAGGGTGCAAGCACAAGGGGCAAGCAGCAGGCAGCGGGGGGGCAGAGGAGCAGCAGACGGCAGGACGGGTGCTGTTGGTACAGAACGAATACAGGGCGAGACGGGGAGCGGCGGCAGGAAAACGGGGCTGGGAGAGCTGCTGCAGGGCGGCGCGGCCTCGGGCGCGGCCTCGGGCGCGGCCTTGGGCGTAGCCTCAGGAGAGCTGGCCAGGCGAGGCGCTGCGTGGCCGGCCCGCGGGGCGGGGGGGCCATCTGCACTCAGCTCCCTGCCCCTGCCGGCTCCCCGCCGGCCCGGCTACCTGCTGCGGTCGCCGCGGGCGGGAGGGAAGTACTCGCCGCCGATGCTGCAGCCGCGGCTCACGCTCTGCGCCACCAGCCGCTCAAACTGCGCGGGGCTCTGCTGCATCATAGCGGCGGCCTCCTTATTGAGCGGGTCATCGGGGTTGGGGGCCTGCATTGGGGGCAGAGCGGGGGCGGGACGGGCGGGCCGGCGGGTGGGCGTGTGGCGGGGAGCAGGGGACGAGCGCCCGGCTCCAGGGGCAGGCAGCGCAGCAGCGGCACGCGGTTGGCAACTCAGCCCAGCACGCTGCGCCGCCGGCCACCTGGGCTGCGCTCGGGCGCTCGGGCCCGCCACCCCAGCTGCCGCCACCCCAGCTGCCGCCATCCCAGCTGCCGCCACCTCGGCTGCCGCATCAGCGCCACCTCAGCTGTCGCCTCAGCGCCAGCTCAGCGCCAGCTCACCAGGAACAGGAAGTTGAGGCCGTACACGATGGCTGTGATGGTCAGCACCGGCTTCCAGTCCTCCCGCAGGATGTTGAGGCAGATGTTGCCCTGCGGGGAGGGGTGGCGGGGTGCGCGCAGCGCGTGGGCGCGTGCTTTGGGAGGCAGCGGTGGCACAGCGGCAGCAGGCGGGCAGGCAGGCAGGTAGGCAGGCAGGCATTGGCACCACCACCACCTCCACCATCTCCACCACCACACACACACACACACGCGTACACACACACTCTCTCTCTCTCTCGCGCGCTCTGGCTAGCCCCCCCGCCGCACCTCCAGGTCGATGTTGGGGTGGTACACCTTGGTGAGGCACTTGACCTTGGGAGCATCGTGCGGGTAGCCATTGGGTACCGCAAAGGTGAAGAGGAAGGCGCCGCCCCTGCGGGGCAGGTGCCGGGGAGGGGCCGGTCAGGGGCCGGCGGCAGGAGGGGAGGAGGAGGGCGCGGGGGAGGAGGAGGGCGCGGGGGATGGCTGCCGGGGAGCGGCGCGGGCTTGGGTGCCTGCGCCGTGCCGCACCTGGCGTGCCACACCCACGCTGAAACCAGCCACACCACCGCTGTCCCTCTGCCATCCCTCTGCCGGGCCCACCGCCACCGCCACCACCCCCAATGCCGGCATGCCACCAGCCCGCTCACTTGTAGAGGCCCTCATCCGGTTTCAGAGTGACCTCAAAGTTCATGATCTTGCTGCTGCCCTCGGGGAAGCGGATCGACACGCTCTTAGGGAGATCCAGCTCGGAGATGTCTGCAGGGGGGCAGGGAGGGGGGCGGGAGCGGGTTGGGAGGAACGTTGCGCTGAGTGGGAGGTGGTGGTGGCGGGGCCAGGGCTGGCAGGGTCCCGCCTGCTCCCCACCCTCACCCTTTTGCAACCGCAGCTCGCCCGCCGACTGCTTCACCGCCTTGCCGTTGGCGGCTGCTGCGGCATCCTTCTTCTGCTTCTCCTGCAGAGGGGCAGGGGCCCAGGAAGCCTCCGTGGGTGACCAGGCGGCGGTGGCAGCGGCGGCAGCGGAAGGTCGGCGCGCCTGGCTGGCAGCCTCCTGGGCTGCCTCGCAGCCGCGGGAGGATGGCGGGCGGGCCGCTGCCACGCTGTGGCGCGGAAGGGGTTGCAGGGGCCGGGCCGTGGAGGGACTCGGCATCCAGGCGGGCTCATAGTGTTGCTCGCGGGTGCAGCCAGCTCGCAGCCGCTGATCGCCCCCATTGCACGCCCACGCTGCACCGCCGGCCTGGAAACCTACCTTTACGCTAAATAGCTTGATCATGAGCCAACCTCGGCCCTTCCCTAGCCAGCAAGCACCTCTTCTCTTCAGCAGGGCACAATCGAAAGGCAGGGACGAGCGGTATCGATCTGGGTGAGAGCACGAGAGGAAGCAGGGCTGTGGGCCGCAGGGCGACACCTGAGCAGCACGGGAAGAAGGCTCAGCTTTCTCTCTCAGTGCCCTTCTTGTTTTGCGCTGCAAGCTGGTGTCCCAATGTGCGGTAGGCTCGCAGGCTATTTTGACAAGCACAGCCCACGAAGGCCGTGGCCATCAAACATGCCGCTTGAACGGGAGTGCCCGTTGCCCCTCCCCCCGATCCGGGAGTGCTTGCTACATGCCTCCAAGGCACATCACGACCACCCGCAGCAATACGGCGCCGCCCACCCGCCGTGCCAGTGTGCTCAGCCCGCCGCTTGCGTCACCGCGCCCTTCGCTCTACATCCGAATGATCACAAAATAGCAGAACAACCGCTGTGCATACAGCTTCATACTCAGCGCTTCATTTGACAGGCTGATGGCGAGACTGGCGACATGCAGGCCGGCTGCCCACTTTCACCGAGCACTTGGTGGCGCCGCCGGGTGCCGGTTGCTATAGCGAGTCCTGGAGTGCAGCGCCTTTCAGAGGGTAGTGTTACCGTGCAGGCACATGGAAAAACACCACCAGTCGTCATGTTGCTGTCATGCCAAGCGTGTCTGTACAACTGTGAAGCCCCACCGTGGGGCCCACAGCGAGAACGGCGCCACCTGGGCGCCGCCTGGCGGCGGGCAGCACTGGGGCGGCAGGTAAAGAGCCCCCATGCATCCCCTGCCCCAGCACCAGCACCTTTACTGAGATCAATCAGCCTTAGCCAAGCAGCGCAGCACCCGCCGAATGCCTGCACTTGGTGCCGTTCTAGGGGCTGCGGGACCCGCGCAGCGAGCGCAAACTGATCACCACGCATTCTCTGACTCGCCTGTTGTACCATTGGGCCCAGCTGAAGGCGGCCGGTGGAGCTGACGAGGTTGGTGGCGACACGGGCTTGCACTGCTGGGAAACCGGTGTGCTTGCACGCGTCACCCAGCCAACGTGGGACAAGGAGGCCAAATGATGGGCCTCTGCAAGCGATGGCACGGGCCAGCCCGCCGCCTGCGCTGCCGCGCCTAGTGCCGCACATGCAACTATTCTGTGCTGCTGCTGCTGCTGGTGCAGAATAGATGCTCTGCTCTGATTGGCGACGCATCTGATCGACGCCAGCGGCGCGTGATAGCAGCATCTCACCCATGCAGGCACTGCAAAGGGCATGGGGCGGCCTGCCGGCAGCGGCGGCACTCCCGCCGCCTGTGCAGCAGCCTCGCCAGCAGTGCCAGCAGCCCCAGCAGCAGCAGCAGCAGCAACATCCACGCACGCCCCAGCAGCAGCCCGCCGCCTGCAGCACGGCGTGGGCACGCCACGCCTGGCGGCGGCAGCCTGGGCCGCCGCACCCGCCGCGCCCGCGGCGGCGGCGGCAGCGGCTGCGCTGCTCCGGGGCGATGGCGGACGAGGCGACGATCGAGCCGGGGCCAGACCGCGTCCCGCTCTACTCCCTGTGCAAGCGCAAGCCCATCGCCGAGTTTGGGTACAGGTGGGGCTGCCGGGTGGGGGCTGGAGCGCAGGGGCGGCTGCGGGGTGCAGTCGCCGGGCAAGAAAGGCTGGCGGGTGCTTGTCCCCGTGATCCATGTTTCCCGTCGGCTGCATGGCAGGCTGTCCCCACCTCCTTCCCCAATGGGAAAACGTGGCACCCCCTGCACCTACGCTGCATTGCTCACCCCTCCCTCCCTCCCCTGCCTGCCTCCCACCCCTGCCCCCCTCTCACCCCTGCCTGCCTGCAGCCGCGCGTTTGACGAGCGGTACAGCCTGGGGCGCAAGATCGGGAAGGGCGCCATGAGCACCGTCCACCTGGGCACCGACCGCCAGACGGGCGCGCGGTGAGGCGGGGCGCTGCGGCGCTGCCCGGGAGGCAGGGGGCGCCCGCATCTGTCCCCCGCCGCGCTGTGTTCCAT